TTAAGTTGTATAGCTATTACTTATATGCTATTCTGTACAATTTAATATGGGTTGACTGCAGTCATGTTAAGTAATAGCAATAATGAAAATTTTACTTTTTTTACATTTTAACAAGTAAAAAAACGTAAACCTGTTATAAAATCCATTAAAATATCAAATCTAAAGTGTAAAGGATATAAAGCAAAATCTACTAAGAAAAAATAAAATATTACTTTAGAAATATATGTTTGATTGCTAGCAACTCATGTGAACATTTAAAAAACTTTTAAGTTTGCAGTAAAGTATATTTATTTTATAAATTTGAATCATATAAGTTGTAAAAAGTAAGAAGCGACACACCGTTTAATCAGTTGGATTAAGTAATATCTATCACAACACTTTGACGTTGTTTTAGCAAACTTTTAGTGTTAAGCTAGTAAATTGTTTAAAGTAAAAGCTTTTTTGTAAATTTAAATTAATGAGCAATTTTCCCTAATTGGGGGAGGCAGAAAAGCGCTTATTAACTTTTTAGTTTTTTTCTCAATTCCACGAGCTAATTAAAACACATTTACCCCTTTTGAAGCAATATAAAATGGTTTTCTAATTTCTTATACTTCAATTTTTTTTCTTTTTTTAATACTGTAAAATTTAAACTATTTAATTACGTAAAAACTTCAAAATATTCTCTTTTATACGAGACCAACCAAACCAAACAAACCAAAAACCTTTTCTTTATTTTTTAAGAAAGAAGTGTTTAAAAGAATTATTTTTATAAATGGAATTTCTCTTGCTAACAAAGTTTGAATTAAGTTTCTAAAGCGTTCTCAATAACTTGTAGTGCGAATTTTACGTGCTGAAGCTTACCAAGATGTTAAGAAAGTTTGTTTATGGGGGCAATAAATAAATATTCTTTAGCTAAATAAAATAAAATTGAACAGTTATGTAAAAAACTAAAGTATAACTACAATTTTAAATCCTAAATGCTAAGTATAATTACAATGTTAAAATCTAAGACCGTAAAGAGCGTGCTTATGAGTTCATTAAAATTGTATAGAGCATTGGAAATTTTTTATTGATAATTTTGCCGATGATTCTCTAATGATAAGTGGCAATCAAATGCTTCTCCACAAAAGTACTTTACGGAAGATACTCATTCTTACAAGTTACGACACTTTTGTTAAAGAGAATTTCGAGTAAAAGAATAATTGCGTTTACTCAGATCATTATTGACGCATTTGTTATTTTTATGGCCAACTTTGTGTTAAAATGAAAGGACAACCGAAGTAAACTGAACCAATCTAAAAGGATTAAAATAAAATTGAGCACCTAAAGAATCTTAGCCCTTGAACAGATTATAGGAACATATTATAAATTCTAAATCGGCAACATATTTTCACTGTTAAGAACTAACGTTATTATGTTCTGGTCATCCAGATACAGTGTTCACATAACGACTGAGATACAAAAGACATTGATAAAGAAAGTTTGGTGTTATGTGCATTGTTAGTGTTAAAAAGGATGTTCAGATGACACAATTATCCATTCTCCTTTGAAAAAGAAGTAATTATATGATATAGGTGATGGATAAAAGTTTAAAAAATAATAAGTTGATATCCTAGTATAGTAAACTTTATCTTACATGAATTTTTTGAGCTTTTCTGGTCGCTTAAATATCGATGACATTATTATAGCTCACCTTTTTAGCCTTATCTATTTTAGCAAAATCTTCTTCAATCAAAATAATTAAAGATCAGTAACGTCATCCTGGCCCTTGATCAAACGGAGAGAATTTTTAAAAATCATCAGTTTACTAAACGATCGTTCGCCTTCAGCAACTGACACAGAAGTTGTGTAGAAAATACCGAGCATAATGCAAATGTACGGAAAAACGTATTCAAGCTGCTTCTCAAAGATCTTATTAAGTAGCTGCAGTGGATTTCTTTGCTGAAAACTTGTTTTGTGGGCATTGTTAAAACGGTGAAGTTTTTTCAATGAGACCCTCTTTATTCATATCTCTAAAATAAAACCGTGCAATTTTACAAGCTTTATTTTAAACGGAAAGATCATCAAGACTCAATTAGATAAATGAAAACATAATGCCAACTATTCAAATTGCTTCAAATCTTGACTCAATCTGCTGGATTAGATTATTTAAACCATCAATAAAAAGGTTCTTTTGTTTGGCTGTTGTGAAATGGAGTGCAATGGGTGATCAAGAAATAGAAGGAGAGCTCATTGATTCCTTTTGCCCTCATAGACGAACATGGAGTCATTATTATAGAGATCCTTAAGATTAAAAGTTAGTAATAATAAAAAAGTTTTTTTACTAACTTTTTTGCTTAAAATTTGAAATTTCAACATTTCTATCATCTATTTGAGCAAAAAATTGTTTTATTCTTACTGTGTTTAAAGTAGACATTTTGTCTATTTTAAACCCAAATAAAAACTTAAATACTTGATAACTGGCCGGGTTCTGGTAAAAGCCAGACGGTTTATTTGCCTAAAAAATGCGACGCTATGATTCTCTTCTTTGCTTTAACAGTCAAATACTACTTGAAAAGAAAGCGCTTTTATCGTAATATTACCAAAAAAATGTATATATATAAAGCGTACTACCTAACGAAGTTTTCAGTGCTATCAGTGTCAACTGCTTTAAAGAGAAATTCAATCAGCTACCATTATAATTATCACAGTGCAGCATCTTCCATACAATCGAACACGAGCTAGCATGGCTAACTTTTTATGGGCTTACGGAAATAGGCCCGGTTCCGTCTAATTTAACTACAGCTAAATCTCATTTTTTCTTAAATAGTAACTACAATTACAGAGTTTAAAGTTAAAATGTTTTTATTTTATTCCAAAAGTTTCAAACTCAAATACAAAGCTAAGCAGATTTTTCATTGTCATTCATTAAAAAGTTTTCTATTTATTAAAAAAAAAGTGTCATCAGGCACCCCTTCAAGTTTGACGCGCGGGTCAATTTGCCCCGTTTACCCCTTCCTCTCGAAGGCCCTGGTGAGAAAGTAAGTAAGAACACTTTGGCTTACAAATGCTCTTGATTGAAGTGTATCTTAGTTAGGAAGTAAGTGAGGATTAATTAGTATCAGAGAAATTGATAAGAATAATTTGTAAAGGTCTTTTAAATTATTTAAAGAATTAAAAAGCCTTAAGTAGTTAAAGGATTTGCTGAAATGTGATACTCATTCTTCTACTAAACTTCTTCGCAAAAAACAAGCTGACTTTTTTGAGCAAGTCAATGAAATTGACAATTTATTTTATTATGAGCCAAAAAAAGCTCAAATTATTTTATTATGAGCCAATATTAAATTAACTGATGTTAATGAAAAGCTTTCTAACAAAGAAATTCTTGAAGAAGGTTAAATTAGAAACAAAGGCACTTGCAATTAATTTGCTGGGAAAAACAAATGTAGGAGTACGAAAAATAGAAAAACCAAATTCAATTAACAAACAAAAATACAATATTAAAACAAGGAAATGAGAAAGGATACGAAATTTCTTAACGAGCTTTATTAAGCTTTTTTAAAATCATCGTGTTATTAAAACTCTACTCGTTAATTAGATTTAAAAAAAATTTTGATCCTCCCGCGTATTAAGACTTTTCTGTTTATTCCGCAGGTAAGAGTAACAAAATCAAATGCTTGTCAACTGTTACATAAGAATTAACAGTTAAACTCGGTCTGCATGTTATGATTGATCCATGTTAGGTAATAGTGCATATAGAGATGTTGGATCGATCCATGTTAAGTAAAAGTGCATATAGAGATGCTGGATCCATCTTAAATAATAGTGCAAGTTAAATTGTCATTAAAAGTTATAATTTTTTTTTTTTTGTTAGAAACAAAAATTAAATTTTAAACAAAAATTGAATTTTAATACTTTTGCTACTTTAAATTTTGAAAAAAATTTTAAATTTTATTATTGACAGTTAATTTCTGATTGATAAAACTTAATTACTAAAATTTTTTCATTTAAAAACACATAAATATAAAGTTATATATATATATATATATATCTTTAAAAATATATAAATAGAAAGTTTAATGTTCAATCTTTAAAAACTAATGCCATTATTAATTGCAATGTGTCTAGTAAAATTAAATTCTTAAAATTACCAAAATTTTTTAAGTTAATCTTTAAATGTTTTTATGAAATATTGTAGACAACTAGCAGCTCCTTCATTAAGATTTTTGGAAGCAGATTACGGCAAGGCCAGCGCGAAGGGGGTTGCAACTATGATCAAAGGGTATACTAGACTGTGATAAAAAAAAAGGCATAATAAGGTGTGGATAAAAAAAAAAAGGCATAATAAGGTGTGGATAAAAAAAAAAGGCATAATAAGGTGTGGATATAAAACTGTGATAAAAAAAAAAAGAAAAGGTTAAATTAACAAATCCTAAGATGCGAAATCATGCAAAGCTAAATTGTGGTTAAACTAATTTATAGCTCTTGTCAAATTAAATTAAATAATATCTACTTATAATTAATAAAAAAAAATAAAAAATAAAAAATTTAAAAAGTACTTTTTCATAACCTTTTCAAATATGAAACTGTTGAAGTCATTCTAAAGTGGTTTTTAAGTTAAAGATACACAAGCACACAGCACAAACAGTTTGGTTTAAAATAACCACACTACACAAGTACACAACACAAGCAGTTTGGTTTAAAATAACCACACTACACAAGTACACAACACAAGCAGTTTAGTTTAAAATAACCACTTGTGCTGTAAAATATCATATATTAAAATTCATACATTAATTGTTTTTATAACAGTTTTTTTCAACGCTTTTTTAAAAAAAGTGTTTATACATCGGTGACAAAATACGTGAAAGTAACTTTTCATTATATTGATTAATCATTTCAAACCAATATAAAACTTATAAACTACACATGACTGTAGGTTAAGATACAAAATAATGTCTAATTTTTTTAAATAAAAAATGTTATTGCGTTACGTCAAAATATAAAACTTAAAAAAACATAACACCCAAGTTACAAACCTTTAAGAAGCTTTCTTTTTGCGACAGAAATCGAATTTATATGCATAAAATATGGAGCTGATACGGAAAAACATAATGTAAAACGAGTCAAAGAACTATTTAATTTTAAAAAGTTTTATTTAATACGAACGGATATATATCCAATGGCGCTCAAATAAAAGTAATTGTAAGATATATTGATGCAAAAAAATTTAAAGTATTAATGTTTAGAGAAATAAAGTCGAGAGAAACGGAATATGGAATTTTTGAAATTTTTGAAATTTTGAAATAAATTTAAGCATTATAAAAAATATTAAGATATGATGGGTACCATTGAACAAATTGAACAACAATGATGCCAAGTTATAAAATCCCTGATATACCAAGGACAGATTTATTAATACGTATTAACAGATCTATTAACACGTCCTTGGATATACATAACTTGATATGTAACAAATTAAATTTGACATTATATAATTTTGTTATATTGAAAAATTGTATCAATTAAATCATATATTAATTAAAAAAAAAAAGATAAAATAGTTGTTATTTTGGTTCCTGTTGTAAGCAAAGCATCACGCCCATCGGTATTGTGCTTTATCCTCCTCCGGCTAATTGCCATACAGAGGTCACAATACCAAGGCCGGCAAAGACAAGCTTTATGGCTCCCAAAGGAGCGTCATAACCCGCTTTACGGACCGAGAGTAAGGTAAGTTTGGGAAGAACGAAGATATATTAGAATGAAAGATTAAAGAAATCGTGTTAGAAAGCATAGAGAAAGCGGACAGATATTTCACGAGATGTTAGAATGTGCAATTCATCATATATTAAGGAACTTTGCAGTACTTATGCGAGCTTGTTTGACACAGTACTCTTGGCAGCCATTGCAACCGAGGTAATAGCGAAAAAGAGCTGCAACACTTTTTTTTATCAGCAAAGTCAACGAAAGTGTATGCAAATATCTATTTTACGTAAACTTAAAATTACGTGATGTTAAAACATACTAAATTATATATCAAATTTTATAGTTTTATTTTCACTTAAAAATTGTGTTGTGGCAACATTGAGTTGTTGCAACATCTCTTTACGATTTGATATGTAGCACTTATTTTCATTTTATAAAGTCTTTTATTTATTATTATTTTTAAAACCTTTGCTGGAAAACATGTCTACGTAGTTAAGTGGATAGCACGCCGATTTTCTAATGCGGAGCCTCTAGTTCGATTCCTACCACTGGCGTTGTTGTTTTTTTTATTTAATCTGTTTAATTTAATCTGTTTCGATTTTTCTAAAATACAAAATAAAACACTTTTGAAGAAAGAAGTTTGTTTTGAAAGAAATAAAGTTTCGTTTTGCCTTTTAAATAACAAAAATTCAAAGTAAAAAAGAAAGTGCATTTGCCACGCGGCGAGGTAAACTTTTTGTAAATAGTAAGGGGGTTTAAAAAGTATGTTTTTAATTAGAACATAATCAAAAATTCTGAATTTATTTTTAAAATAAACCATTTAGTTAAATTTATAACTTTTAATAATAATAAAAAGTTATCACAGCTACTTTGCTACAGTCCCGTTAAATAAACGGAGTGCGCAATAATGACAGCATTTAGAAAACCATCAAAATAGTACTATACTCCGTATGGAAGAGTCAACTCGGACGCTAACTGAGGCACGAGGCATTTTACTAAATGTGCACGCTTAACTTTTTTTAATTTCTTATTTAACATTAAAAATTTTTGAAATAGCTTTGTTATCATAAATGATATAATTATTAAATATACTTTTATTTATAAATTGTAATTTTTAAATTTTTTAATACTATTTTTAAGTTTTACTTAATGAAGCATGTTCTGTTTTGTAGGTTATGTATTGAAGTTGTATCTTGACAGGCAGTTTATTTTATAGCTAAAGATGACTTTTGTTTTAAATATAAGTAAGTCGTTTTTTATTTTTATTGGTTTAAATTGTTTTATATTAGATATTCAATCGTGTTTTATATTAATTTTGAGTACAGTGTTATTGTTTAGTGGTGATGTGGCCTACATCCACACCCAGGGTGAGGGCCCTATTTTGGGCCCTCACCCTGTTTGGATTTATATGAATTTTTTATTATTTTAGTGTCGCAAGAAGATCTAACGGTCTTGTCACAGAGCACCTGCAGAAGTACATTTAGCCACATAGTGGCTAAATGTACTTCTGCAGGTGCTCTGTGACAAGACCGTTTTTTTTTTTATACCTACTTCACATAGTAGGTATAATTAAATGTTTTTAGTTTAAAACTTTTATTGATCTTTTTTGTTAAATTTTGTTTGTAAATTAAACTAAATTTATTTACAAACAAAATATATATTCTGTTTCTGCTCTAAATATCATCAAAATTTTATTCAGCAAAATATTAAAATGATTTGCTGCTAGGACGGTGTTTATGATTCTCCATGTCAAAATGACATTTTATTGTCAGTAAAGATTTAATGAATTCTTCAAATTATAGTTGATAATTTTCATTATAATCAGCAATAACATTGAGTACTTACAAAAAATTCGTGAAAGGACTTAAAAATCAATTTTTTACAATGTATTTATTTATCGATGCGTCCTTATTTGCTCACGAAAACAATAGTGCTTTTAATTAAAAGGGTTGTATTTTTAATAAAAATAAACATTTTACATTTTGTGTGTGTGTGTTTGTTTTTATAATTTTACCTGTATCTTCACTTTTTCTCATGATGATAGAACTATTTTTCATATTTAACTGCAAATATTATGTATTCTAAACATTTTAAATTCATTAGTTATTTTATTTCTTTTAGTTTTATTTTGGTGCTCTACCAACTATCATAAGTTTACTTAGTCTACTGTTTAAATATGGTTTTGTTATAGTAAGCTTTAATTATTTAAAATTTACTATGTTGATCATTAGCTAATAGTTTGAAAAGAAATTAGTTTGTCACAATCAAGGTAAGAATAATTTTACTTTTTGGTTAAATTACAAAAAATATTTGCACTTAGTTATAATGTTTTTGTTATTTTGTGTAATTGTCTTTGCAATAAATGTCTTTTTTTTTTTTCAGATTTTAACTATTTTCAACAATGCCCTAGAAAAAACATCAGCAACAGGTAAATTGGTTTGTAGTGTTAATATGTAAATATTTTACTTTTTTTATCATATCAAAGTTTTTTATTTATTTAGATATATCTTACAATGCTTTTTTAGCATATTAGTGAGGGGCCATGTTTAGAGTCAAAGCTCAACCTTTCCCTTTTTTTTTTTTAAATAGTGAATGTGGATCCTGTAGAAAGTAAAATTTGAGGAGAGGGAGCGGTGGGAAAAAAATACGCTACATCTATGATCAGTATTTTTGTAGTTGGTTAATCTCCCTATTTTTAATTGATGATACTGATGTAGCTAAATTTGTTTTTGTAAATAAAACTTTTTTAGATATTTTATTTTGTTACGTATAAATATGTAGTAATTGTAAATAATAAAAAGTTTTTGTTAAATTTTTAGTTTAAAAAAATTTTTTTTTTTTTTATAAATAAAGTTTTCTATTGTTTTGTATAAAAATTTTGTTCAAAAGATATATTTTCTTGCGTTTTCTTAACAATTTATTTATTTTTTTAATTGTTAAAAAGTCATATATTTTGTTTCTTTTTCTAATTTTAAGTAAATCAAGGCAGAGCGGAATACATCAACTAAGGGTTTAGGTTTGGGCAGGCATTCTTTTAAAGTAAAGAAATGAGTTTTAATAATTATTTAAATAGGGTTTAAAATTATTTTAATTTATGTTTAAAAAATTAAATTACACTAGATTTAAAGGTGAAAGAGTCAAAATGTCTCTCGTTAAAAATGATTATTAGTTAGTTTCATTACTGGAACTTCTACTGACAACTTCATTACTGACAGCTTCTAATCATTCACTAAAAGCCAAGACAAAAGATTTTGCTATAAATAAAGTTTGTTTATATCTCAGTATAATTTTTTATCTTAGGTGTTGCTAATAGGTTTCCTCATTAAACAGATTGTAAAGTTGTATAGATCAATCAATTAAAGTTGTATAGATCAATCAATCTTTATAGCCACTGCAAAAATGATATCATAATAAAGTAAGTTTGTTATCTGTTTTTTATGTAGTTTTTTTAATTAAAGATTTTTGTTTTCACTTCATTATTCACATCAATATAGTTATATCACATAATTATTTCCTTGATAAATGTTAAATCGTGGTCGCTATTGCTAATAATTATTGTTTCTATTTTTTCTTTTTATTTTAGGAACTGAGTATATACGCAACTTAATATTAACAATATTGAATGCTGCTTTTAAAACAGCATACGTAGTATCACAATTGGTTATAAAAAACAATTAAATTGATTTCCATTTAATACATGTGGTGTATTTTTTCCGTATTTTTTAATTCTAATATATTTTTTTTAGATTAATTAGATGACGTGTTTGTCCAATATAGACCTGCAGCTGAAAACTATTAAAAAATAGTTATGTTTTGTTAATTTGTTAATAAATATGTAAATGAAAATATCTTTCATTTCACAAATCTATTAGGCATTTTTTTGAAGCCACAATCCACAATGTTTTGTATTTTATATATGTGAATGAAAGTCTATGTGAATGTTTTGTATTTTATCTATGTGAACGAAAGTCTATGTGAATGATTTGTATTTTATCTATGTGAACGAAAGTCTAAGTGAATGATTTGTATTTTATCTATGTGAATGAAAGTCTATGTGAATGATTTGTATTTTATCTATGTGAATGAAAGTCTATGTGAATGTTTTGTATTTTATATATGTGAATGAAAGTCTATGTGAATGATTTGTATTTTATCTATGTGAATGAAAGTCTGTTTGAATGATTTGTATTTTGTTTATGCAAATATCTAACATGTAAATTTCAAATTATGTAAATTATATTAAGTTTTACAGATTTACTTTTACTTGAAAATATTTTTACGTTTGGTTCAATCTACACTAAAATATGCAGTTAAGTAACCAAGGATCCTAGCTTAGTTGGTCAAAAGTTGAATGTTTTAATGTGTTAATTATGTTGAAATAGGAGTTATTTTTTGTTAATGGAAGAATATATGTATTTTTACACATTCTTCGTATTATTTTAAACGCAATAAATAAGTCTACAAAAAGATGCTCAATAAACCATTATGCTACCCCTTTTATACACACAGTTTTAAATTTGAAATTAATAATTGCATTAACATCTTTATTTTTAGCTAGAGATTTTAAAAGTTAATAAATATTTCTTGAGATATCTTAATTTTTCAAGTAAAAATTTACATTTTTGATTTTTTCTTAAAACCTAAAATAATCAATTAACTTTAAAAAATCTAACTAAACACACAAAGGACCAATTGCAGAATTTTTTTTATTAATGAAGTAAAAGATAAATATGAGTTTATCTTTGATGTTTCTATTTGACTTTTTAATTAATTTTCAGAAAACTGGCAGCCATTTTTAAAAAACATTAAAAAAAAAAAAACTACTTTTAAGACTTTATCTTGAATACTAAAATGTAAATGTTATACAATTTTTTATTTATTTGTTGCTTGACATTTAAATAAAATCTTTTTAATTTTATAGTTGATAAAATATATTTCATAAAAATAATATATATACATATATATATATATATATATATATATATATATATATATATATATATATATATATATATATATATATATATATATATATATATATATATATATATATATATATATATATATATATATATATATATAAATATATATATATATATATATATATATATATATATATATATATATATATATATATATATATATATATATATACAGCATCTGTTATCCCTATTTTTAAAAATTCTGGAGAGCGATCTGATTAGTCTAACTACCTTCCCATTAATTTTCTTTCTATCATAAGCAAGGTTTTTGAATATTTAATTAACAAACACTTAATCTCTCATCTTGAATCTAATAACTTACTTTCTGATCATCAATATGTATTTAGATCTTCTGGTTGATTTTATAACAACCTTTATGGCTGATTTGCTAACAGTAATAACTGATAGGTTTTATCGCGCATTAGATAAAGGAGGAGAGGTTAAGGCCATCGTTCTTGACATTTCTAAAGCGTTTGATAAAGTTTGGAATGCTGTTCTTTTCCATAAGCTTTTTTCTTATAGTGTATCTGGAAACATCTAAGATTATTGAATCCTTCCTTTCCAATCGTAGTATAAAAGTTGTCCTTGATGGACAGCACTCTTCTTCTTATTCTGTAATCTCAGGGGTTTCTCAAGGATCAATCCTTGGCCTTATACTCTTTTTAATTTACATTAACAATCTTCCAGATATTCTCACATCTAAGGTGGCATTGTTCGCTCACAGTGGGTGGTGAAATTTAATTCAGATAAAACTCAATTTTTTCAGCCAATTGTTATTGCAATAATTTAGACCTTCCTATATTTATGAACAGTAATGTATTCGATGAGTCATCAGCCCTTCATATTCTAGGATTAACTCTTACTACTGATTTTTCTTGAAAATCTTATATCGAATCCGTTGCAAAATTAGTATCTGCTAAAGTTGTATCTCTTTATCGAGCTCAACACTTTATTACTCTGGATTCTATTCTCTATCTCTATAAATCTAAAATCCGGCCTTGCATGGAATACTGTTGCCATATCTGGGGCGGAACTTCTAATGATGCCCTTTCTCTTTTAGACGGGGTGCAAAAACGCATTGTAAACATTGTTGGACCTGCTCTTGCAGCCAACCTTCAACCTTTGTAACTTCGTCGTAATGTTGCTTCTCTTTCTCTTTTTTACAAATACTATAATGGGCACTGCTCTAAAGAGCTAGCGTCTCTTGTGCTATCTACTAAAATTCATTCTTGTGTTACTCGTCATTCAATTATGTCTCATCCTTTTTCTGTTACTGTTCCTAAGTACTCTAAAAACTCTTATTTGTCTAGTTTTTTTACTCGAACATCAGTTCTTTGGAATTGAAAATACATCATATACGGTGACATACTATTTATTAACTATTTAAATTTTTAAATTTAATTTTAAATGCGATATTTCGGCTGATATAGTTGGAGCCATTTTCAAACTAAAATACGTTACAAAAAAATTCGTTGTCTAATTTTTCTTGTTTAATTATTTGGGATAACTTAAAGTATTTTAGAATTATTCCAATTAATTATATCTTTGCAATGTTGTGCATGTTCGACAATTCCAGATGCTTTCCAGTTTGCTTTAGTCACATTTTTTTGATGTTCAGCTATTCGTATTTTTATCTTTTTTCTGGTTTCCCCCACATAAAAAGCGCCACATGTACATTCAAGTTGGTAAACACCCAGGTAACTGTTTGGTGGTAGCTTTGATTTATTTTGGCATAATATTTTCAATAAAGATCTTCCAAAACGAAAAACTGTTTTTATGCCAACATTTTGAAACTTGCGTCTAAGAATAAGACTTAATTTAGGAACCCACGGAAGAGTTATGGAAAGAATTATGGTACAATATCCGATATTGATCCCACTAATCAGTTTCTTTGTTTTAACGAACACTAAATAAACTAAAAAAATATAAAAAAAATAGATAATAAAATGTACAACAGTATTTATCCTTCTGATGCTATACCACCTCGATTATACGGCTGCATTAAAGCTCATAAAAGTGATAAAGATTAGCCAATGCGAATTATAGTCTCAACTGTTGGTATCAGCTGTTAGTACACCCCCTCATAAATTATCGCAACATATTGTTCTGCTTATACAACCTACGCTTAACAAAAACCAGTGTAGAGTAAAAAATTCATCATCTTTTGTTTTGGAAGCAAAAGAATGGACAATTGAAGAAAATGAGGTTCAGGTATCATTTGACGTAATAAATTTGTATCCGCCAGTTCCACTCGATAAAACATTTTTAGCTATTATTGATATTTCAAATAACGATAAAGATGATCTTCAGCTGCGCAATTATCTTTAACTGACATCAATAAATTAATTGAACTTTGTCTAAGTAAATTTTCTGTGGGATAACAAAACTTATATCTTAAAAAGCTCTAGTCCAATTGGATTATTCATAATGGTAGTAATTTCAGAAGCTTACTTACAACATATTGAATATAATGCAATTCAACAAGTATTAACCATTAATGTTGCACCAATAACATTTAAACGATATTTTGATGATTACCATGCACGTTTTTCTAACTTTAATAAAGCAGAATCGTTTTTGACACTTTTAAATTCTCAAGACAAAGCTATTCAGTACACATGCGAATACCAAAATGATCAAGATCAACTTTTCTTAGACATCTGCATTTTAACTAATCATTTAACTCATAAATATAACTTTTCTATATACCGCAAGAATGCAATAACAAAGATGCTTGTAAAACCACAGTCTTTTATATCACTATATATTGCAATAGGGATATTTAAAGCTTTTCTTGCAAGAGCTCATAAATTATGCACTAGTGATAATATAGAAAAAGAAATTGAGTTCCTAATTAATATTTTTATGGAAAATGGATATTCTCAGCAACAACTTTAAGTTATTGTAAAACATTACAAACCATCCTAAACAAAAAACCGTCAAATTAATACAAACAATACCATAATTTTTCCGTGGGTTCCTAAATTAAGCCTTATTCTTAGACGCGAGTTTCGAAAAGTTGGCATAAAAACAATTTTTCGTTTTGGAAGATCTTTATTGAACATATATTGCAAAGATATAATTAATTAGAATAATCCTTAAACACTTTCAGTTATCCCAAATAATTATACGAGAAAAATCAGGGAGGCAATTGAAATAGACAGATAGCAATGTTGCCATCTAAAAAATAAAATTCTAAACCGAGATAATGGCAACCTAGTGACGACTCACCATTGGAAACCATTTTTTGTTTGATTTAAAAAAAACTTTTATCATATTGCTCAGGATGACATCATTATTATAAACAGCGAACTTTTTTGTAACGTATTTTAGTTTGAAAATGGCTCCAACTATATGAGCCGAAATATCGCATTTAAAATTAAGTTAAAAAATTATAATAATTAAATAAATAGTATAAATAGTATGTCACCGTATATGATATATTTTCAATTTTTTATATAAACTTCATCATACTATTAAGATGTCATTAATATATATGTCATATATATATATATATATATATATATATATATATATATATATATATATATATATATATATATATATATATATATATATATATATATATATATATATATATATATATATATATATATATATATATATATATATGTATATTATTGTGTAATTAGCGTGTTTAATATAAACACGCTAAATATTACTTTTTGTTTTATTTAGCTGCGGTTTGTGAGAAAAAAATGCTTGAAATTGTTTATTGGCATATTCAGACCGTAGAGAAAACTTTACTTTTTGGAAATTTTGATTTAGATACGGTCTCAAAGTTACTTTTAATTCGAACTGTAGAGAAAACTTTACTTTTTGGAAATATCGATTTAGATATGGTCTCAAAGTTAGCTGGGGTTTGTGAGAAAAAAGCAGGCTTTGTGAGAAAAAAATGCTTGAAATTGTTTATTGGCATATTCGGACCGTAGAGAAAACTTTACTTTTTGGAAATTTCGATTTAGATACTGTCTCAAAGTTACTTTTCATTCGGACTGTAGAGACAGCTTTACATCTTACAGGGTTATTCATTCTTATATGCGCGTCTATTCATTT